AGAGAGATGGAGCGCAGAGAGAGAGAGAGAGATGGAGCCCAGAGAGAAACAGAGATGGAGACAGATGGAGCCCAGATACAAACAGAAAGAGCAATGGAGCCCAGAGAGAGGTAGAGCCCAGAGAGATACAGAGAGAGAGATGGAGCCCAGAGCACAGAGAGTGATCGAGCCCAGAGAGAGACAGAGATGGAGCCCAGAGCAGGGAGAGATCAAACCCACTGTGGGAGAGAGAGAGGGATTGAGCCCTGCGTGGGTGACAGAGAGAGATCGAAACCGTCGCGGGGGGAAGAGGTCAAGCCCAGCATGGGGGAGAGGGGGACAGATCGAGCCCAGGGCGGGAGAGAGAAAGAGAGAGAGACAGAGACAGATTGAGCCCAGGGCAGGAGGGGGATAGAGATTGAGCCCAGTGTGGGAGAGAGGGCGAGAGAGACAGACAGAGTGAGAGTGATATTAAGGCCAGCGCATGCAAAGAGAGATCGAGCCCAGTGTAGGGGAGAGATACAGCCCAGTGTCGGAGACAGAGAGACAGCGAAATAGAGACAGAGACAGAGCACACGAGAGACATTGAGCCGAGAGCTGGGAGAAGGAGAAAGAATGAGTCCAGTTTGGGGAGAGATCGAGTCCTCATGGGGAAAGCCTATTTGGAGTGACCCTGGGCCCATGACTAAAGATGGAACGTAAAGTGGAACTTTTAACTTTATTTCTTATTTACTACTTTATACTGAAAAGAACTATAATGTTGAACATTGAACTTATTGCTTTATTTTTGGACTGTTTACCTGAGATTTTGTACCTGGGTACCTTGTCCCTAAGGTAGCACTGTGAATGGCGACATTGTACACTTTTCACTGTACACCTGTATCCCTGTACTTGAGTACATGTGACAATAAAACTTAATTGTAATTCTAAGAGTTTGCAGGATCATATGGCACAGAAACAGACCATTCAGTCCATTAAATGTGTGCTAGCTCTTTGAAAGAACTATTGACCATTCCCCTAATTTATCGTCCAACGCCCCGCAAGGTATTCCACTCCACTTCTCACCATGTATTCAACCCTTCTCAAAGTTGTTGTTGAATCTTCTTCTTCTGCACTGTCAGGCAGTGTGGTCCAGACCACATCTCAGTGCGCAAACCCCTGTTTGCCTGATCTCCCTGCTCATTCATTTGTCATTTAACTTTATATCTGTTATCCTCTGGTTTACTGACTGTCTTACAACTTGGAACAGATCTTCATGCCAAAAAAACACAGCCCTTCTTAACATTCAAACTGTGAAACAGCAACTGACAAAGCAGCAAACACGTGAGAAATCCATGTGGAGCATTTGTTTAATCTTTGAGGGGGGCAGGCTGGCAGGCAACAGGCACCCACATGCTCATCTCCCCAAGCCGAATATCACAGAGACACTTAGTCAAAATAGCAAAGTCATCAACAATACGCTCCAGCATAATCCCTGACTCAGTTGCTAACATTCAGGTTAATTCTGAGAGACCACTGCTTGGATAGAATGGCTTCAGTCTGGGTGCAACAGGTTTCAGAGAGATACCAGGGTTAAAATTGTGAGGGTAGGTTATATTAGTAAAATTCTTTTATAGGAGATTAAAGGGCGATCCTTTTTACATGCTTTAGTTGATAAGAGGATTTGATAGGACAGACAGAGTGAAAGTATTTCCTCTGTGGCTGGGGAGTCTGGATTAAAGAGGAGGAACTAGAAATCACGGCCATTGACTGACCCTTGATTCCAGGATGAGTCCTACTCAGAGTGAGGAGTTTCTGCTGTGGGTCTTCCCGTGACTGAACAAGCAGATTCCCAACACACGGATCTGCAGGCACAAGCTGCAGGATAAGGTCATGGGATCCAGAATGCAAGGTCTTTCTCAGCAGATGACACACCCAGATGGGCAAGTTGTCGCCATTTTGGTCAATTGGTGGCAACTCCTCCTAGACATGAATATCAATCTTGTCATCCATCAAGGAAAGCTTCCAAGTGTCTCTACCATGTTTTCATTATCGTCCCCCCTGGAACTTTGGCCATATGATGGTTGAGATGTCCAGACCTGGTGGGGAGTCATTTTTCAGCCATTTGGCACAGTCCAGCAGAGTTGATTTCTCAGGAGTTTTACCTGAATGCTCATACAGCTGGCTTCAATAAGAAAACTCATGTTTGGTCACTGGTTCTCACGTTGAAATAGAGAATACAGCGAAGGCATTGCTGGTGGAAGTGTTCAAGAGCTCTTATGCATCACTAACATGCTGTCCAGTTCTCACTGCAGTATAGAAGTGCAATGAGGACAGTTGCTCTCTACACTAGAACATTTTTCTCACTTTTGGAGGCCTTTGTTGTCAAACACTGCCATAGTTTAGTAGAGGGCTGAACTAGCGCAGCTGATCCAGTGTCTTCTCATCAATGATGGCTCTTAGGGAAAAACAGCTGACAAAGTATGGGAAGTGCTCAACATATCCAGAGCGTCTCCTCTAACATATATGGGAGGTGAAATATTGGCCAGGTCTTGGGTGATCTGAGTTTCAATTTGGCACCTTTTAAGGACACTTCTAGACTCTGGATGCAAAATCGAAGAGATGGAGGGTGACTTGCAAATATGAATCAGAGCAGGCAAAAATACTACAAAAGATGAAGTCACATGGTATCGGGATGAGTTGACAAGATGGATACATAACTGGCTTAGTCATAGGTGACAGAGGGTAGTGGTGAAAGGATGCTTTTCAGAATGGAGGGTTGTGACTAGTGGCATTCCACAGGGGTCAGCGCTGGGACCTGTATTGTTCGTGATTTACATAATGATTTGGAGGAAAACGTTGCTGGTCTAATTTGTAAGCTTATGAACAATACAAAGATTGTCGCAGTTAGAATCATAAAATCTGTAAAGTGTGGAAACAAGCCATTTGGCCCAACAACTCCACACTGACTCACCTCCTCAAACCCTGTACCCTATACTTCCCATGGCTAAACCACCTAACCTACACATCCCTGAACACTATGGGTAATTTAGCATGGCCAATCCACCTATCCTGCTCATGTTTGGACTGTGGGAGGAAACCAGAGCACCCAGAGGAAACCCACGCAGACACAGGGAGAATGTGCAAACTCCATACACAGTCACCAGAGGGTGGAATCGAACCCAGGTCCCTAGCGCTGTAAGGCAGCAGTGCTAACCACTGAGCCACCTGTGCGGAGGAGGATTGTCAGAGGACGTAGATCAGTTGGAGGCATGAGTAGAAAAATGGCGGATAGAGTTTAATGTGAATAAATGTGAGGTTATGCATTTTGGTAGGTCAAGTACAGGTGTAAATTATACTGTGAATGGCAGAACCCTTAGGAGTATTGATATGTAGCAGGATCTGGGTATGAAAGTCCACAGATCAGTGAAAGCGGCAGTGCAGATAGATAAGGTAGTAAAAAAAGCCTATGGCATGCTTGCCTTCATTGGAAGGGGCATTGAGTATAAGGATAGGCAAGTTATGCTGCAGCTTTATAGAACTTTAGTTAGGACACACATGGAATATTGTGTACAGTTCTGGTCACCACACTGCCCGAAGGATGGGCATGCTTTGGAGAGGGTACAGAAAAGGTTTACCAGCATGTTGCCTGGTCTGGGGGATTTTACCAATGAATAAAGGTTGGATAGACTGGGTTTGTTTCCACTGGAAGGCAGGAGGTTGAGGGGTGACCTAATAGAAGTTTATAAGATTGTGAATGGCATGGATAGAGGGGAAAGTATGAGGCTTTTTCCCAGGGTGGAGGGGTCAATTACTCGGGGACAAAGGTTCAAGGTGTGGCAGGGGGAGTGGAATGATTAAAAGAGATGGGAGAGGCAAGTTTTTCAAACAAAGGGTAGTGAGCGCCTGGAACATGTTGCCAGAGGAGGTGGTGGAAGCAGAGACAATAGCAGCATTCAAGAATCTTCTGGATGAATACATGAATAGGAAGGAAATAGAGGGATACGGATCCTGTAAGTGAAGACAGTTTTATTATGAATGGGCAAAACGTGTTGGCACAGGCTTGGAGGGTCACAGGGCCTGTTCCTGTGTTGTACTGTTCTTTGTTTTTTGTTCATCTGTGTTCTTTCTATTGGCCAGGTAAGTCTATTGTGGTCAGTAGACCACAGAGACAACTGTAGGAATAGTTTTCCATCTGGATGGAGTTTAATACTTAAAGGGCAGTTGACCTACGAGGTGAATAACCTCCGTCTGGTAGATGTAAAAAGCATGGAGGCCATCACACTGACACTGGTCAGATCTTTAAAGACATTTATTTGAGCTCTCCCACTTGAGATAGTTGCAGTCATATCATCATGGAGCAGATGCAGGATTGTGGTGAGGTTTCTTGGGTGTCCAAATCCCTGGAGAACATACCATGGAACCTCGGTGAGGGGGTGAAAATTGGAAACACTTGCTGCTGAGATGGAGGTGAACTGAAATTTCTAAAAGTCAGGTTTAAGAGGTATTGGGCGTTAAGGACTGTGGAATTTAGACAGATAGATGAAGACAGAATATCGACCAATTTGAAGGGCTGATTGGTCTTTTCTTGTTCCTACATTCAGCTGTTAAACAAGGCTTTGTCTGCTCTCTCTAGTGAGGCAAAAGTCCCATGGCACTAAATGAAGAACAAATTATGTGCTCAAATGTAGAGCTTGAACCCATAAAGTGTCTGACTCTGAGTGAAGAGTAACATCCACTCAAACAGACAAACACTTCAGTGCTCACTCCCACAGGTTTCAATCTTTGTCTGACAGCGAACGTTGTGACTCATTGCTGGCTAATTCTCACTCCATCTTGCTACGTGTTCTTCCTCACACGAGGTCACACAATAGCAATAAGAAACCCTTTCATTTCATTTGGTGTATCTCTCATTTCAGCTGGCTGCAGCTTAAAGCTTGTGGCCTGCTGCCAAATACTGACATTCATCCTGCGTATTCACTGAAAATAAAAACTTACAATGATTCCGCGTGATACTACAAAAACCTCTTAAGCCTCCTGGATTTTCATCACTCCACCATCGGCAGACCTGCCTTCAGCTGCCTGGGCCCTATGTTCTGGAGTTCCTTCCTTGAAAATCTCCATCTCCCTACTGCATCCGCTGCTCCCGACGTGGCGTCCTCTACATCGGTGAGACCAAGCGGAGGCTCAGAGACCACTTTGTAGAGCATCTGCGCTCTGATCACGACAAACGACAACACCTTCCGGTTGCGAACCATTTCAAGTCCCCCTCCCATTCTCTGGGCGACATGTCCATCCTGGGCCTCCTCCAGTGTCACAATGACACCACCCACAAACTAGAGGAGCAACACTTCATATTCTGCCTCGGGAGCCTACAGACCGATTGCTTAAACATGGAATTCACCAGTTTTAAAATCTCCCCACCCCCGGCCTCATCCCATGATTAACCCTCCCTCTCATCCCCACCACCTTGACCTGACACACCCTGTCCATCTTCTCTCCCACCAATCTGCCCCACCCTTCCCACCGACCAATCCCCACCACTGCCTACCTGCATCCAACCTATCACCACCCCACCCCCCTTCCCCAGTCCCCCCCCTCCTCCTCCCGCCTCCTTGACCTGAAACAACCTGTCCATCTTCTCTCCCACCTATCCGCTCCTCCCACCTCACTGACCAATCCCGACCACTGCCTACCTGCACTCACCTATCACCATCCCACCTACCTTCCCTAGCCCGATCCCTTCTCTCTATTTATTTCCCAGCTCCCTTTCCCCTCCCCCATTTCTGAGAAGAGTCTTGACCTGAACAGCAACTTTCTTGCTCCTCTGATGCTGCCTGACCTGCTGTGTTCATGCAGCTCCACACGGTGTTGTCTCCTTTAAGATCCTCCTTGAAACCTGCAAGTTTTTGGTGGTATAGACTTGATGGGCCAAAGGGCCATACTATACTATATGATTCGGTGATAAATCTTGGAGTAAGGATGTGATAGCTTGCCTTATTACCTTATGTGCCCCAGTGTCAGGTTCTGTGAAATAGCACTCCTATAAGGCACCCAGGGAAGCACCTGAAATGTATCGTTTTGTTGTTGGTGTTGGGTACAAGGATGATCAATGATGCCTGTCTGTCAGAACTGAGCAGCATTAATGCCCCTTTAATAATATAGACTGGGCCTAGAACGTAGGGTAAGAGGCCATGGATAAGGCCATCCTGAAAGCACTTCCTGAACCTCTAGCAGCAGCCAATATGATCCAATGCTCACTGATAGAACTGAGACCTACACTGTCATGGTGGGGGCCAGCTGTCTTTCTGAGGAGATTTCCTCCTGGTGCTCCCATTTCCTCCCACAGTTAGGTGGATTGGCCATGCTAAATGTGCACTATGTGCAGGTTGGGAGGGTTAACCTGGTTAAAAACCCATCGCGGGGTTAGAACAAAGAACAAAGAAAATTACAGCACAGGAACAGGCCCTTCGGCCCTCCAAGCCTGCACCGATCGAGATACTCTATCTAAACCTGTCGCCTATTTTCCAAGGATCGGTATCCCTCTGCTCCCTGCCTATTCATGTATCTGTCTAGATTCATCTTAAATGACGCAATTGTGCCCGCCTCTACCACCTCCGCTGGCAACGTGTTCCAGGGATGGGGGTGGGCCTGTGAGGGATGCTCTTCAGGGGGTTGGTGCTGACCTGAAGGGCTGAATTGCCTCTTTCTGCACCATAGGGATTCTATCAGATGTTAAGCAAAAGGTCCCACCTTGCTCTTCAGGTGAATGTAAAACATGCTGTGGCCATAAATTTTATTAAAAATGAGCAGGGCAGCTTTCCCTCCTGTCTGGGGAGAAGTACGTAGAAACATAGAAGATAGGAGTGGGCTATTCGGCCCCTTGAGCCTGCTCCAATATTCATTATGATCATGGCTGACCATCGCGCTCAATACCAGAATACCACACTCCGCACTTCATTATTCCTGGATTCCTTTAGCCACAATCTACCCAGTTCATGTCAATGTAGATTATCAGATTATTATCATTACACTTCATGGGAGCTTGCTGTGCACAAATTAGCTGCTGTATTTCCTATATTACAACACAGAAATATTAGATTTGCTTTGGTAACGCATCCTCCCATCCTTTTGCAGACACTGGGGAAGTAAACAAGAAATACTAACAAGCAGACGAGATCACTCACCCTAACACCCATGAACTTGTCCCGTAGAACTATCCAGGAAAGCAGGAAGACAAAGGCCTTGTTGCAGCAGAACAGAGCAGACGTATCTGTTGCGCTGATTTTCTTTAGGGCCAGGAAGTACAGGTAATTTGTTAAAGTCCACAGGACGCAGAATGGGGCCATCCTGCTGAAAAACAGTTTGATGGTCAAACCATCATCCCCAAAAAACCTCCAGCATTCCCTAATGGGGAGGGAAAACAACAGGAGAATGAAAGGTCATCACTCATGTGAAATCTTAGAACAAAACAAACTTTAAACTCAATGCACTATATACAGTAACACAGTCTTCATTGTACCTCTGCTCAGACTGTCTGCTTACTGTCCAAAGGGCCTGGTTTTCCCAAACTGGGGTGAAGTGAAGGATGGGACCTGGGAAGGTCAGAAGGCAGCTCCCCTGCTCTTCCTAAATATCGTGGTGATGAAGCTTCTTGGCTGATTCGAGAGGGTGGACAGGGCCCTCAGGTTAACGTCAGTAACAACTGCACCAGGGAGTCTGCCTGGATCAACTGTCTGGACTCTGACTCAAACCCATGACCCTCTGACAAGGAGGGAGAGGCAGCGGGGCATCTTAAAGTGCTGCTCTGTACCTGCAGCATCCTGCTGTATGCAATAACTGGAAATTCACCAATCCCATTGGAAACCATTTGATTAGTTTTCAAATAGGTTTGAATAAAATAATAAAAGGAAAAGGAAAATGCAACTAGACATTAAATGTTATTTAAAGTAATTGTTCATTGATGAGGTGCCGCGCTGTCAGAGGGTCAGTGCTGAGGGAGTGCCGCGCTGTCAGAGGGTCAGTGCTGAGGGAG